GAAGAGCTGAGGGACAGCGCCCAGGCCCAGAGTTCAGGCCCCACGACTGGACCCCCCCCCCCAAAAAAAAAAGTAGTATAACAACTACTTTGTTCATAACTTTACAATTTGGTTATTTGATACTAGTTTAAGAACAATACAAATGTAGCATATTGAAACTAGCAAGGTCAGTGAGCTAGTTTTAAACTCTACAAATACTTTAACTTAGATTCACTGAAATTCCATTTGGTGATACACTTTATTCTCATCAAAATAAGCCCATGGTAATAGAAGAAAGTTATATTTTTCATACTTTTGCTATAAATGTTTTCAAGAATGTCTTAGTAAAACTGGATGATTCCTGTATAGAAATGTGTAACTAGCTACAGTTCTGAGTCCTGGAATAAAGTCCACTGTGTAAGAGACAGGAAGAATAAAGTTTCATCCCCTGCTTCATACAAACTTGCATCTGGTAGGATTCCACTTTTCCATTACATCCAACTATTCAATGTTGCCTGTGATGAGAGTGAAAAGAACACTAGGATAATTCAAAGGAAATCTATAACAATTACATTTTGTCATTGCCTGTAAAATGTGAGCTCAGTGAGGGGAAGAGACTTATCTTAAAGAGATAATTTAACTACCTAAAATAGTGCCTCACTAGGTTCAGTTCAAGAAAAATTTATACAATAACTATACACAGATACAAAGAAGAAAAATAACAACAAGCAATTGTTTGGCTATACCTAAGAAACTTTTAGTTTACAAGATAAGAATATAAAGTTAAAATACAATTTGATGATTTAACTGAGGTTCAAGCCTCTAAGTCCAAGATTACCTTTTTTTCACAACAACGATGGAAATATAACAGTGGCCAAGAGGAAGGCTACGCTATGCTACAAGTTATTGGAGAAGTGCATGATTGCAGATAGAAACTGTTAGTAAACCATACCTCTCTCAGAGGCAAGCATCTACAAGCATCTATAACTCTTACTGCTAGGAAAATACTGTCATTAATATGAATGATACATACATTATTTTAGAAAAAAATGTTTGTTCTTCCACATGAACTACTTTCTCAAACTTCAAATGAGAATTATTGCTAAAGACAGCTCTAAGCTAAGGAGCAGTAACAACTGCTTCAAATATTTGAGAAAGAGGTGAGGTAGAAAAATTGAGAAGAGCAAATTCCTACAAATTTCAAAGGAAAGAAAAATATATATTTGGGGATAATTAATAAATGCACAAGAGGCCTGTGAACTGACAGTGCTTGATGTTGCTGAAGTAGATCAGTAAAAAAAGTGAAGCTTCTTTCCAGTTTCCTAAGACATATAAATAATGTTCTTATTTCCAACATTTTATTTCTTCAAAGAACTTTAAATCTCAAACTCATTAAAATTATACTCGGAATGTTGTTTTGTTTTGTTTTTGTGCAGGTCCTGGGCTTGAACTTGGGGCCTGGGCACAGTCTTGAGCTTCTTTTCCTCGAGGCCAGCACATCACCACTACTGGCTTTTTCTGAGTAGTTTACTGGAGGTAAGAGTCTCACAGACTTTCCTGCCTCCTGCCGTGGCTGACTCTAACTGTAATCTCAGAGCACAGATAACTATTTGGTATTGACTTTTAATCGTTTATGAATACATTTATAACAAATCTTTATGCAATGATGTTAAATGACTATGTCAAAATGAGGATATATTTTGAAAGCTTTTAATTTACATTGCTAAATTGTAGTCTTGATTTCTACTTTACAAGTAAAGAACATTCATTGGGTGGTAGCTCAGTAGTAGAATATTTGCTTTGCAGCTGTAAAGCCTGTTTCAATACTGTAAAACAAAATACAACCAGGAGCTTGTAGTAGAGGCAGGAAGATCAATTGAACTTAGGAGTTTCAAATAGCCTGGGCAAATGTAGCAAGATATCAGTTCAAAAATACAAACAAACAAACAATGATGGCTCATCCTACCACTTGGGAAGCTGAAGCAGGAGGATTCCCCAGTTTAAGGACATAGTAAAATTTTGTCTAAAACAAACATCAATTTAAGAAGGCCTCATTTCTCAATACTGTCACTAAAAGCAGATAATCTTTGAATTTTGTGTTTTTTCTTTATTTTTTCCCTTCTTTTTGAGACAATGTCTCACTATTTGAAGGTGGCCTCAAACTGTGAATTCTTCAGCCTTCCAAGTAGCTAGGATTGATTACAGGTGTATGCCACTATGCCAGGCCTTTCTTTAGTCATTAAAAAAAAAAGCCTAAAAGTTTTTCTCTTGAATATAGATCATTGGCCTTTATCATGTGTATTGTTATAGGTTGAACTCAGGGCTTGAGCATGGTAGGTAAGCAGTCTACAACTGAGCTATAACTCTAGCTCACCAATGTGGATTTCTAAGTGGAGCTCAAAGTAGTAGAATGCTAGCCTTGAGCAAAGAAGTTCAGGGACAGTGCTCAAACCCTGAGGTTCAAGCCCATGACCAACAAAAATGAGGGGCTGGGAAGGTGGCCCAGTGGTAGAGTGCTTGCCTTGCATGCATGAGGCCCTGGGTTCAATTCCTCATTCCTCAGCACCACATAAGCAGAAAAAGCTGGAAGTGGCGCTGTGGTTCAAGTGGTAGAGTGCTCACCTTGAGCTGAACAGCTGAGGGACAGCACCCAGGCCCAGAGTTCAAGCCCAGGACTGGCAAAAAAAAAAAAAAAAAAATGAAAACAGAGGTATGGGGCTGGGAATGTAGCTTAGTGGTAGAGTACTTGCCTAGCATATATGAAGCCGTGGGTTCAATCCCTCAGAATCACATAAACAGAAAAAGCTGGAAGTGGTACTGTGGCTCAAGTGGTAGAGTGCTAAGTGCTAGCCTTGAGCAAATGAAGCTGAGGAACAGTGCCCAGACCCTGAGTACAATCAAGCCCCAGGACTGGCAAAAAAAAAAAAAAAGTATGGATTTCGGATAATGTACCTCAGTGAGCTCCTAATTTTGCAATCTTATCTATTCTTTACAAATGAGGAGACTGTGGTCCACAGATTTGGCCCAGAAAGTAGTTAAACTTTTTGACATTATTTTGGGGATAATTATTAGGTCATATTGTGAATAAAACAGGGTTCTATAAATCCATACTGATATAAAAGGATAAAATGAAAGCTTGATAGGAAAGGAACAAGATATTTATATTATGTTTCTATAAAATAAAGTTTAATTACTAAAGTAACTTACAGTACAAAAATCTACGAAACATCTTAATAAACGTTCTATAACTAATATCACCAGAAATAAGGAAAAGCAAAAACATGCTCCCCTGGTAGAATATAGTAGAAACTGCATCATTTCCATGACAATCCTGCCAAATATACAGAACTTGAAACTAATCATGAAGAAATATTAGAGAGCCCAAATTAGGGAAATTCTGTCAAATAGCTGGCCTCTAATCTACAAAAATGTTTATGCTGTTAAACTGGAAGGAAAAATAAAGATGTTTCTGATTGAGAAAAGAAGTGGAACACAGGTACTTGCATATCTGATAAAGTCTACCATTTGACTACCATGTTTTGAAAGACTTTACATGGCAGATGACTTTTACTGACCTAACATCTGCCTTTCTTTTATTATTACTATTTTCTTTGTGTGTGCTTGTCCTGGGGCTTGAACTCACAGCCTGGGCACTGTCTCTGAGCTTTTATGTTTAAGGCTAGTGCTGTACCACATGAGCCACAGGTCCACTTCCTACTTTTTGGTGTTTAATTGGACATAGGAGTTTCACAGACTGTCCTGCCAGGGCTAGCTCTGAATCTCAGATCTCAGCCTCCTAAATAGCTAGGATTATTGGCATGAGCCACCTTATCTGCTTTCCTTTTCAGAAGCTGTATCTCAAAAGTATAAATAAATAGCTTGAAACAAAAATTCACTGTACTCTACTTCTCTACCATCATGACTTGTGGTTGGTACATAGATGTATAAAAAGAATATACAAAGAACTCTTTAATTTCAAATTAATATGTGTGATTAACTTGAGGCAATCATGTAATAAACTTATTTGATAAAAATTCAATACAAATGCAAATAAATTTGAGATTTTAGTTTGTTAACATTTTGCCCAAAATATTTCAAAAATGTGGACAAAATATTTCATGATTAACTGTTGCTACTATTCTCCTGAACTCATAGGTGAATCAGGATGTTTATATTGGGAACCTTTGTGAAAGAGGACTCTAATCAGTTAAGTTTAAGAATCTCTGAGATAAGCAAACACTTTAAAGTAAGTCTTCAGTATGCTTTTACATGCTGACATACATTCTTTCTTTCTTTTTTTTTGGTCGGTCATGGGGCTGAAATACATTCTTTCTCCAAAAAGATGTTTCCAAATTTGTTGACCCTCAGAATCTGTTTTACTAAACACATTAGTATTCTGAGGACTAGTATATGGAAACATCTATTGTACTCAGTAATGTAAGAGAGTATTGGTCTATTTTCAAAGCTAGGTATCTGACCTGATCCTCTGTGAGTGGCAACCTAAGCAAACAGAATGTTAGAAGGAGGCCAATTAACAGGAAGAAAGGTGGATTACCATGAAAGGAGAAAGCAAAAACTATAGATATACCTTCCTGCCACAGGAGAAAAAACAGTGGACACAACCAAAGCCTGCTTTGTAAAATATAACCAGTCCCAAGAGGGGCATATGTTAAAATTAGTCAATAGAAAAAAATGAAACTTGGGTGACATCTGGGAAGATGTCACCTAGTACTTAGCCAATGAGTAATCAGGGGAGGGGTCTGTGCACTAGGATAAAATGACTGCTATAACTACTCTTGAGTATCTCTGCCTACCAGACATCTGATCTTGCCAAGATCGTCATTAACCATTAAAGTCTCGTTTATGCTGTATTTTGTGTCTCCAAGTTCGTTCACTGAGCTTAGATAGGTTGAGTGTTTTTCTTATAAGTAATACCTGAGGAACAGTCAAACCAAACCAAACCAAACCACAACAAAAAAAAAAAACCTTTGCATTATAAACTTAATATCTTTCATCTTTACCTTTCTAGCTTGTGGGCCGTGAGCTTCATTCACTCTGCTGTGAAGAATCCCTCAGCTCTTACGCAGTGCTTCAAGTTTCCATTTAGTAACTCTATGGAAAAGAGAAGTAGAAAAGAGTGAATTTGTTACCCTGTAGAATCTGAAAAAATAGCCTCATGCAGTTCAACTCCTAGTGAAAATTTCTTTTGAAAACATTTTATTTTTTTGGTGGTGGTCATGGGGTTTGAATTCTGGGCCTGAACTCTGGGCCTGAGCACTGTCCCTCAGCTCTTCAGCTAAAGGCTCTACCACTTGAGCCATAGCATCACTTCCAGTTTTCTGGTGGTTTATTGGAGATAAGAGTTTCACAGGCTTTCCTGCCCAGGCTGGCTTTGAACTGCGATCCTCAGATCTCAGCCTCTTTAGTAGCTAAGATTATAGGTGTAAGCCACTGGTGCCCAGCTGAATACAAAATGTTTTAAAATTATTTTTCATTTAAAAGATGCCATTTGATATTTGTCTTTAATATTATTCAATATAAAACTCAAGTTCTTTCTAAAATCTTCAAGGCTCCAGAAAGATGTTCATCCTGTAGCTTCTTACTACTTCTACTCTTGAAACTGCTGTATCAGACAGAAATAGGATAAGAGACCATGGAAAAGGAGAAAATCATAATAAACCTTCGAGGAGAGAATAGATAATATGTGAAATGGCAGTAATGAATCTAAGTACCACATCTTCAGAGTGGAGATTAGCAGTTTTTCCTGTGTTAGGAAAATAACAATAAAATCTGTAAGACAGGGAAACCCAATTGTACTTTTTTTTGTGTGCTGGTTCTGGGGCTTGAACTTGAGCTTTTTGTGCTCAAAGCTAGTGCTCTACCACTTAAGTCACAGCTCCACTAATAGCTATTTTTTTTTTTTTTGGGTGCTTAGAGATTAGAGGCTCATGGACTTTCCTGATCAAGCTGGCTTTGAACCACAATTCTCGGATCTCAGCCTCCTTAGAGTAGCTAGGATTATAGGCATGACCCACTGGCACATAGCTGCTACCTGTGTATTCGGATTAGGTTCTGCTGCTAATGGCATAAAATAATAGCCTAAACTACTTAGAAGTTTAACTCTTACATGTAGAGGCAGTTCAGATCTATGATCTTTAATGATTGTTAAGAAATAGGGCTGTTCTTCATTCTATTTTGTTGTGGTTACTCTCAACAAGTAGCTTCCCCTTCGTGGTTTTAAAATAACTCAAAGTCTAGTCTACATATCTGGTGATCAAATGGCAAAGAGAAAGAGCAAACTAGCAACAGCCTCCCTTTAAGGAAACTTTTCAGCAATCTCATGGAAAAACTTCTACTCACATTTTATGGGTTAGAACTTTGTCACATGGCCAAAATTAGCAGGGAGACTCATAAATACTGTTTTGCCACAAATGTAAGGAATCATTCTTCACTCCACTTTACTATCCACTGTCCATGTATTTTTTTTATAATGGACTTAACTAACCCGATAGCAGGGACACAAGTTCCACAGAGGGTACTATTCTATATAAGTGTTCTGGGAAGTGCCAAACATTGCACAGCAAACTCAGGTATGTATAAATGAAGGTACACAAAGTGTTTCCAAGGGATACCTGAACATCTATGTTTTCAACTTTGCTTTACTTTCCTAACCTATCTACTTTCCCAGAGCTCTCACTCTTATGTTCCATCCACTTTTCATTGATTCCAAATCTTACTTGTACGCTTGTTCCAGGTTTCAAAACTTACACAGAACAAAACAAATGGATACTTTAGAGTGTATCTTAGTCTCCATCAATCAAGGTGCCATTAACTTCAGGTTAATTCTTTGTATTTCTACTAAAAATAAAGCCTGGTTTTAACAATGATTTGTGGTCAAGAATGTTCTGAATTCAGATGTACTGTACAATGTGATTATAGGAACAATAACAATGATAACTTAATGGTTCTTTCATTAGTGAAATAGTATTAAAAATACACTGTTCTGAGAGGAAGTTTCAGGAGACAAGGAATTTTGGAAAGTTAAATTTGTATTTATTAGAAAGCAGCTATCAAGTTTATATGTGTAAGTACACACACACACACACACACACACACACACACACACACACACACGGTATCCATAGCTAGAGTAGCCAAATATTATACTTATTTAACCTTATGGTGAAAAATTTAGGCATCAACTAGAGACATGCAAAATGTTTATCAAGTTTATTTTCAAGAGAGTATAGTAGGTAGAATAGTCCCTCTCAAAATGTTGCTTTAATTTTTGGCACCTGTGAACAGGTAGGTGACACTATATGTCAGAAGAAACTCTTCAGCTGTACAAACAATAAAGATCAAAAAACAGGGAGACTGTACCAGGTTGACTTAATCTAGAACAGAGTACTTTCTCCACCAGGACCAGAGATTCAGTCAGAAAAGCAATCAGATAGGTAAGAAGCATGAGAAGGACTTGACCTGCCATTACTAGAAGTGGCCCCAGGGAAAGCATTTCAGATTCTACAGCAAATAGCAACATTTGGATGATCATCACAAAGGAAAGAGGGATGACAGTTGTACAACTGCAAAGTCAACAATGTAAATGAACTTGCAAGTATATTCTTCCCCAGAGGTCCCAAAAAGGATTACAGTACTGCCAACACATTGATTTTGGCTCTCTAAGACTCTAAGCACAAAAAGAAATCCTGTTAACTTGTAACAACGTGAATGGAACTAGAGATCATTGTTAATTGAAATAAACCAAGCACAAAAAGACAAGCACTGTATGATCTTATGCATATATAAAAACGAAAACAAACAAAACCCCCAAACACCTGAACTCAAGAAAGTGAGAATGCACTGTTACTTACCAGAGACTAGAGGGAGTGAGGATGAGAGGAAAAGGTTGATCAGAGGTATTAAGTTACAGTTAGATAGTGGTACTGCATAGTAGAGCGACCATAGATAACAAATATGTACTGTGTATTTAAAAAAAAAAGGAGAATTTTGAATGTTTTCACTATGAAGAAATGGTAAATGATCAAGGAGACAGGTGTTTGATCTGATTTTTAAATGATACAATGCATGCATCACAAAATCCCATTTTCATGTTCTCAGAAAGAAGTACACATTTCCCCCAAGCAGAGAACTCAAGATGAACCCACCTGACTTACAAAAACAACAACAACAAAATCCTGTGACAATAAATTTATATTATCTCAAGATATTATGAGTGTGGTAATCTGTGAGACACAAAGAACATAATTACCAAAAGCAACTATTTTTGGGTATCAGGAAGATGGACTTGTGCACCATAACTTCAAGGGCAGCAGAACCTGATACCTTAATTTGTGTTTTAATTTCCTTTTTATATCTTAGTCAGGTACCATAAAATACAAATTATAATCCTAGAATTCACTGTGGGGACAGTAATATGGTCCTATTGACAAATCTAAATCCAAGAGTTTGAAAAGCTTTTAAGCATGACTTAGTCACATTTTATCATTTCATAAAATATCTTTGGGTTTCTTAGTAGGGAAATTTAAATACTATGATTTCACTACAGTTCTTCCCAGTGAAAGTAGAAAAGTCCCCAAAACTCTCTCTCAAATTAACTAGCAAATAAGCTGGCCTGAAAAGGTGGCTCAAGTGGTAGAGTGCCAGCAGTGAGTGAGAGCAATGAGGCTTGAGTTCAAACTCCAGTACACATACCCACCCCAAAAGTGGTAGTGTAAGTTTTACTAATAAAGTCATTTTAGATTTTGTAACTATAATGACATAAAACAGTCACAGCATTACTTGCTCAAAGTAGATAAGTAAAACATACTCAATGCTACTCAATGCTTCCCTCACTAAAAACTTATTTTTTATAAAAGTTAAAAAAAATAATTACAACAGTTAATAGTCACTACCATTTCATTACCAAGAGGATACAAACAAGATAAACTACAGACTTTTATATATCACACTAGTTCACCCGATAATTCCCATTACAACACTGGTAAGTTCACCTATTTTCTCCTTCTCAGAGTATGCAGTTGTTCATGTAAGTAAAGAGCAAAATTATTATTACTATAGGAAATAACTCTCAATCTACCTTCTGTATTCAACCATCTTTTAAACTTACATTTACCTGACATTTGAGCATAGAGTGGCTCATGTCTGTAGTCCTGCAGAGATAGGAGGATTGTGGTTCAAGAATAGTTGTACCAAGGAGTTAGGAAGAACCTATCTCAATCCTGGTGTGGTGGTGTACACCTGTTAATATGAACTATGTGGGAGGCAGAAGTAGGAAGGGCTTTGGTCGTAGACTGGACCTAGCTAGGATGGACCTGGACACAAAGCCTATCTGAAAAATGGCTAAAGAAAAGGCCTGTGGGTATGGCTCAAGTGTTAGAGTGCTTACCTACCAAGTGCAAGGTACTATATTCAACCCAAGTACAACCAACAAACAAACAAAAACACTTCCTGCAAATGAAAAGATACCAGTAACTTTCAATCCAGTGATTGAGAATTGATAATGTAATCATTTTAATTAAATAATTTGTACTTCAAAAGAACAAATACTAGAGTTGTGGCATTTTGGTTTAACCCAAATTTCTTCCACTCTGGGTAAAAAGATTTTCACAAAAATGTTTAGTAGAGAAAAAATGGTAACTGAACTTTACAGAAACTACAGTATCATTATTTTATCAATTCAAAATACAGACGTATATATGTATAGATATATAATACTACATGAATCTGAAATAGGGACATGTATATATGCATAGCTGTAGAACACTACATGAATCTGAAATAGGGAAGTCTGAGTTGGAGAAAACAGGCACATACAGAAAACTATATGACGTTATCTCTAATGGATTTATGAAATTCTAAGGTAGAAAATCCCACCATAAATTACAAGTTTCTAGGGGAAACCCAACTTTGTTGCCAAAGCTACCAAATGGATGGCTGCTATGTTGTCTTCCAGCCACATCATAAACATGCCTGGGAGACAGTGCTAGATTTTTTCTGAACTTTAACAATAGTCATTACCAAAGCAGGTACCAAGTACTTATTTTCTGATCAATTTTAAGGTTAGTATAAACATTATTTGAATCCTTACAACA